TATAGCTGTTGTTTTAGTCCCTATAGGAAATTAGATATGGGTGGTGTGGCTTTCTTTCATTTAAAAATGTTTTTTTTTTTACTTAAGGTATCTAACAAAACCATCATAAAATAGCTGTATTTATACCGAGACATATTTTTATTCTTTCTATTGAGAATTGGAGTAACAGGCATTGGATATTGTATTTGTTTAATGGAAAGCATCTTAAAACAATACACTGAAATTTGTGTTTATCAGTAAAACATTTTAAAACCTTTGCACTTTCTGTGCGTGTGCATGCCACTTTGTATATTCACTTTACAATGTTTTCCTGTAAGATAATTTTCAAATTAAACAGGGGCTTAATTTGACATATATTTTCTTTTCACATCCAAGTATGCCTGCTTTTAATTTCTTAAATATTAGCCAATCAAAATGGTGATAGTACAACTACATACGACTGCGTTACGCAACGAGAAAACTACAGACAGTTTTCTAACAGCGACAAAACATTTTCCATTACTGTGATCAAGTGAACTATAAGTATCACTTGTCCTGATTTCCTCCTCTATGTCCTTCACTGATATAATAACCCAGGTTCAAGACAGAGCAGCTTCACAGGCTCTTATAAATCAAACGTATTATGATAAGAGGGACAGACGCTAAAAGACAGATGGAAAAAAATATTTTCATTTCTGAGAAAAACTGTTCCTTCTCCCAGAAATGATACAGACCACACTTACAGGAAGTTAATAACCAAGCCTAATGAAAGCAAACTGTAACTCACCTGATGCTCTTCTGATGAATCTGTTTATCACTGGTGCTGTAAACAAGAAAACGCCACATGTTCAATTTCATTATAAGCTGAATTGCTCTGAAAGCTATTATGGAAAAGAGGTTTAGCTGGCTGTCATTTTACAGCTAATTCCCATGTGGGGCATATCTCATTAGGGAATCCATATTCATTGTGGTTAGACCTGAATGAGGACAGCTGCTTTGAAGTGGGTTTAGATATCTGAATATCAACAAGAAAG